CCCCCTGCTCTGCCTTTCTCAGGGGCTGCAGGGACATGCCTTCCACTTCCAGGAGCAGCAGTTACCACAGGGATAATTACTCCAACCCTGACAGGTTAGGCATTTTAGAACTCACTCTCAAAGAATTAAATTTAAATATAAGAGATAAATGAAAATTATGAAATGCACAGACAAGTCAAAACTCAAAAATAACCCATTTTGCAAGCACTCAAAGTAGTAAGAAAAACAACCCACATATGTGTTAGGTCCGGAGATGAGAGTGAAGGACAGTATGGCTACGTCTAGACTGGCATGATTTTCCGGAAATGCTTTTAACTGAAAAGTTTTCCGTTATAAGCATTTTTGGAAAAGAGCATATAGATTGGCATGGCCACTTTTCTGCAAAAGCACTTTTTGCGGAAAAGCGTCCGTGCCAATCTAGACGCGCTTTTCCACAAAAAAGCCCCGATCGCCATTTTTGCGATCGGGGCTTTTTTGCGGAAAACAAATCTGAGCTGTCTACACTGGCCCTTTTCTGCAAAAGCACTTTTGCCTGAATGGGAGCAGCATAGTATTTCCGCAAGGAGCACTGATTTCTTATAGTAGGAAGTCTGTGCTTTTGCGGAAATTCAAGCAGCCGGTGTAGACAGCTGGCAAGTTTTTCTGGAAAAGCGGCTGATTTTCCGGAAAAACTGGCCAGTCTAGACACAGCCTATGTGTTTGTGAGAATGAGAGAGAGACACACAAAAGTGTGAGAATGACAGAGATTTGCATTGCTAAGCTCCTTCCATCTCCTTCTATCTGTGTGGAGATAGGATACAGAAGTGGGGGAGGAGGGATACCCCGATATCAGCACCCTCTCTTTTTTCCCTCCTACACCCTGCACTGCAAGCAGCAGGCTCTCAGGGGGGCAATTCTAAGGCAGAGGGAAGGAACAGCATGACTGTGGGTGGAAAGGCAACTGAAGTGCCAGCGCTTGATAGTTTCCAGGCCAGACGAGGATCACCTGTCAGAGGCGCCAGGATCTGACAGTAGATCCTCATCTACTGGTGGGTGACCACTGCTGTTACCAAATGGCAAAGTCATATATAAATATTTGCATCTAGTTAGTATCTGTGCTGGAGGTGTTTTGTGCTCTTCTCCTATTAGGTAGTGTCATTTCTACAGCAGATAAGAACATGTTTCTCTCATGACAAATTTTGTTGAAAATTAAAGCTTTTTTTTTTCTATTTGTCAAAATGTTCAACAGAAAATTTCAACTTTCCAGCAATAAACTGAAAATTAAACTTTGTTTTTCAAATGTCCAGCTCAAATCTGTTGGAGATTTGGAAGGTTTGGGTCCAAACCTGCAAGGTTTTCAAAATGACAGTCAGCAAGCAAAATTTCACTGGAAATTTTCAGTTAGTTGAAAACCTAATATTCTGTCCAAAAAAGGTTGCCAGAAAATGTTTGCCTACCCTTGATCAACTCTTAGAGGCTGCAGATCTGTGATCATAATGAATCCTGGCTTGGCAGGGTGCAAGGAGACCTCGGTTGGATGAATATAAAGAGGCAGAGGGCAAGCGGTCCATTCTTGCTCCAGGCAGCAGAACTAGGGCTGGGGATATTTGATGTGTATGTGTGTCAAGGGAGAGGAAATGCTGAGGGGAGTCAATGTCCTTTGCTCCCTAGCTTACAGCTGCTTTACCTGCCGGTTCCACCCTGCAAGCCACTTATCCCCTCCCAGCTGCTTTATGCTGCACCTTATTTGGGCCTTCATTAGCACTTTCTGTTCTGGCTACAACACACTGCACTAGAATGGGAGTATCTTTTGTCCTCCTCCCATTTGCTGCATCTTCTTGCTTCTCAAAACTTACTTGCCTTGCTCTTAAAGCCCATGCCAGAAGCTAACCTGTTTCCAGCCCTTTTTCCTAATTGGCTTGCTATCTACACACTATGTCCTATCCCAATCACCCTGTCCTCATTTAGGAAAGTTATAGTCTGTTTATAACATCATACAATTATAATTACTGTATTCCTTACACACAGTGCTGCCAACACACAGGGTGGTGTTGGTAATAGCTTGAGTGCGCAAAAAGGTCCAGATGTGTTTGGAACAGACCCCACAATCAGTGAAAAGAGATGATGTGACTTATCTGACCAATCAGAAGTAACTAACACACTTAAGTATCCAGTGTCCACTAGTGGATCAGATTTATTTCCCATAAAAAACGTGCTCCAAAAATGTCAAATAATTTTAAATAAAAAATGGCAATCTCCTTGTAAAATAAATTGCTAAAATCTCAGAAGACTTTCTGAGACTTTTTCGATTCATTTTAGTACGCACACACATCAGCAATTATTGACTAAAGTCACCATTTCTCAAGCTAGAATAGGAGGACAAACAAATTTGGTGCTATTTTAATTCAGGGCAAAAGAAGGTGAAGGGAGCTGAAGTTTTTATTTTGGTTTCTATTTCATAAAATTAGATAATAGGCTCAGGTTAAAGTATAAGAAAAGTTTCAGGTGATAAGAACAGCTCTGAAGGGGATGAACTAATTTGATAAAAAATTAAAATAAGACTATTATGTTATGCCAACAATGCATTAGAACATGGATGAAAATATATGCCACTTGAGTCTGATTCTGTGATAGTACATGTGCCATCACTTCTGGATGAAAATACAAGATTTAATTAAAGCACCGTAGTTTGCAAGGTATTAATATAAGATGAATACTTAAGGCTAATTAGGAAACAAGTAACATGCTGTCATATGAAAACAGATGTGAATCAAACCCCCATAAAACATCGCAATGCAAAGATGTAGTTCTTGATTTGGACTCTTGTTCCATTGTTCTTAATTATAGACCTTCGGAGACATTGTTGAGGGGCACATGATTCACATTTTTTATTGGTAGGTCCCTACATCCAATGTAGGAGAGTGTTGGGTTTGTTTTGTTTTGTTCTTTTTATTTCTAGTTTTGAGATGGTTGGCAACAATTTCATCTTCATGCTTCATTTTCACTGCATACTGAGGCAATTTGCTATCAGTGCACTTTGTTATTTCCTCTGCTTTGACTTTTTGACCTGTGAGGTGCTTCATGACAACAACTGTTCTTTGACTAAAAACATTTAGGAAGCTCTCCAGGCTGAATGCTATCTGTGTAGGTTTTCAGAGTAGTTTTAATTTATAGGTACTAGAATTCTGTTTAAGTATACTGTGCTGGCTGCAGGCCAAGTTATTGTTTTACCAGTTGTCTTCCATTGACTACATAATATCACTGCTTAGCTTCCAAATGATTAGGGTTGGGTGAACTCAGAGACTTGGAGTTATGTTTCTGTTGTATGATCATTCCTTAGGCAATTTCAGCCATACTCAAATTTAATACCTAAAGAAAGACTTCAGTGTTCAACTTCTCTGATGGCTTCCCAGCCATTATTTAGGGAAACTGGAGCCTTATTTAAAAACAGGTATTTTCAGTACTGTTTAAAAAAAATCAATTGCCAGCCTCAGGAACTGTGATGTCCTTTTAGGCCTTTTAGGTCACTTACTAGGAGATCGATGCTGCAGAGATCGATCTCCTGGAGTTTGATTTAGTCTAGTAAGGACCCACTAAATCAACTGCTGATCATGCCCCCCATCAATTTCAGTATTTCACTGGGTGGTGAGGAGTAAGAGAAGTTGATGGGAGAAATAGTTGGGATGTCACGGAAATTCAAACTAAAGTACATAGATTCCAGCTATGCTATTCACATAGCTGGAATGGAGTATCTTATCCCCCAATGTGGGCCTGGGCTTAGAGTGTAAAATAGGAGTGGGGAACCTCTGGCCTGTGGGTAGGCTCTAGCTCCCTGTTTAGTTTCATCTGGCCAATAGCAAGTCTCAGGAAGCCCTGAGCCCTCTGCTCCCTCTGTGGAGCCGGAACAGTGAATGTCAACTCACAGCAATCTGGGAAGCTCAGCATGATGTCCTTGCTTGGGAGTGCTGCCCTCACAGCTCTCATTGGCTGGGAACCGTGGGCAGCGGGAGCAGTGTCTGCAAGTGAGGCAACATTAAAAGGAGGCAAGTACAAAACCCTGAAGGAGCCATGTTAAGACCTGCACACCTTAGTATTGTTCATTGGGAAAGTAAATAGAGCTGGTTGATTTTATTATTTAGCTCATTTTGGTAGCTTGAGTGTTACATACACTACTTTATGCCAATTAACTGTAGTGTAACCCTGTTAAATACAACTAAATAACAAATGTGTCCTCTGGGGGAAATGCTACTGGTAAAACCTAGCTCTTACATAGCACCTTTCTTCTATAGATCTCAAATGCTTTGCAAAAGAGGGATTTACCATTATCCCCCCTTTGTAAGTGGGAGAACTGAAGCAGATACAGATGGAACTGACTTCTTGAAGGGCACCAAGGAGACCAGTGGCAGACTTGGGGATAGGAGCAGAATATAATGGCTGTAAGTCTAGTGCTCTGTCCGCTAGACCACATTGCCTCTCTAATGCTATTTTCATAGACAACATTTATATGCTCTACTTCATGGATAGGCACACATCCATGGAGCCTAAGCACTACATGTCTGTTACCTAATGGCATATTATAGTTTAATTATTCTAAATTGTCTTTTGCTAAGACACTCCTAATATAAACAGCTTTTGAGAGATGAGATAAAGAACTGGACATGCATAGCAGTAAAGGCCCCCAAAGCACAATGTGTGTTTGTTGCCATAGGGGCATGTAGACTTACATCTCCAGCACTTGTTAAGCATCTATTTCTTTTGTGCCTATTAGGGCAATTGCTGTGTCTTTTTCTTAGAGAATCACTGTTGCTTTCTTTTCAACCAATGTGTAAGTCTATAACGTAATTACACTTTGCAGTGGAGGCTTCTATTTCTTGCACCTCCACAAAATAAATTTGTAGGCCAGAAGGGTCCATGCTAATATTCGAGGCTGACCTCCTGAACACAGGCCATAGATTGCTGTCAGATTTTCAGTCCCTTAGCTATATTTTCCCAGACATATTGTTCTTCTGTCCAGCTTTAAGTCACACTTTTGCTTTTCGCTTTAATATCATGATTGTCGTTGTTATTCATATTAACATAATCTTATAGTGACTGGAGCTGTTTGTGCTGTACATGAATCAGAGAGTGCCATTTCAGCTTCTGCAGAAGGAAGAACAAAGCCGTTTGGTCAGTGGCAATATTTAATGAAGAATGAACTCACGTTACTTTTCCTTTTTATTCTTTTTATTTTATCATTATTAATATATATGAATTTTCTATTCAGGTATTAACAGATTATTTATTGTTCTTAAAGAACATGTTTAAAAGAATCCTGTTCCCTGATTGCTGGCTTTTTTATATTTCTGATGTTTTCTAAAGTGGGGTTAGGGCCTGATCCAAAGTCCAATGAAGTAAATGGAAAAGCTCTTGATTCAAAGCTGCGAACTCACCGGGTTTGAATCAGCTCCTTAGCATAAGTGAGAAATGATGTATGGTCTGTTAAAATCCATACTGATATCCAAGGTATAAGCGATTACGTTCTCCCTGTGGGTACAATAATTAAGTTTGATGTGTATATAAGCATAAAAGGGTATGTACAGTTGTACTAGAGAAACATTGAGATAAAGATTCTATAAAAACATCTAGCATCATTCTCCTAATAATTGAAAAGTTTAGCCATTAAACCACCTTTCTGAGTAAATGAAATGAATCGTGAATAATTTGCTGGCAAATCAGTTATATGAGTTACTTGAAACTTTGAACATTTAGGGCCAGGAAGAATTTCTTTCAACCCAGCAGTGTCTGACCAACTATTTGCCAGCAATATCCGGATGGCATCCAGCACACTCATCACACGGGGCATGGATTCTGAAGAAAGAATAAACTATTTCCTAAACTCTTCTACTACCAATTTACAGGGGCAATTCTTTGGCAGTGGGCAAGTGAAGAGTGATAAATTGCTTGTCCCTTTTTTCTAGGTATTCAAGGCAGTTCTGTTTTGTAAAACTTAGTCTTTGAATTAAAGATTTGGGTCATTTCTATGATGGCTCAATATTTTAAAATTCTCATCTATGTTTTTGTAGCTAGTATCTGGAATAGAATCAATATGTACAGTACCATAGCAGAAGGTATGGTCATCTTGCTTTCCCTCCTGTTTCCTACCATTCAGCTCTTCATGGGGGCTGTTAACACATCTTTCAAAGATCTTAAAGCAGCTAACAGACTCATCTTGAGCACAAAAATAAAAACTAGAACCACAAACCAGTGGACTCATTACAATAACAGCATGGCTTTGTCTGACAGCAAGGCAGGAAACTTTAAATTGGACTTGGTACTAACTGTGTATATTACAGGAATTATGTTACATTTAGGTTGCCACTGCAAGTAATGTTTCTAGTCACAGTGCTAGCTACCAATTCCTTCCTAACTTTTGACTTGTTTCCAAGGATGACTGCAGGGTTGCATTATAAGTTTTACATGTTTGCCCCAGGTTGCTAATAGTTTCCTCTCTTTTTTTTCTAATGAGACAGTGTGTGGGTAGATGTGGCTAGAATAGCAAAAAAAATCCTTTCACACACATGTTGTGAAGTATTGTACACGGGTACGCAACATAACCACAGCATAATAAGCTTTTTGGCCAGCAAAATCCATAGACCAAGGCTTCTCTGATTTGGGAAGTGTGATGGAGTGTCCACACCACACAAGAGACTAAGGTAGCTGGATGGACCAATTAACCACCTAGACTGTACCTGGAAGATGAGCCAGGGAGCAAGGAGGACTAATTAATGATAAAGCTCAGCTGGACAGGATTAGGAGAAACCTATTTAAAGCCTAGGAGCTGAGAGTAGAAAGAAGAGGATGCAGAGAGAGGCTGTAGTCTCTCTCATCAGGGTGAGAGAAGGCAAGGTAGGAAGTAGCTAATGGATACAACAATAAGGTTTAGGATTATGCATATTGTGACTGCTTGTTGTAGAGTCACTAAGGCAAAGCTCAGCATGGGCTCCCTTACTAACCATTAGTGAAATGGTATCATTAAAGGGCTATGACAGGGCAGATTGCCTGAAAGACCCAGATACATGCCCTGCTTACCTCTGCAGATGGGAAGAACTACAGTGATCTAACTGGAGGGCCAAGATATGAAGCAGTAACAACCAAGTCCCAAGAGAATGAGACTGCAAGAGAAGTAGGGCAAGCAACTGCCAGAAGAGGTATCAAGCTGGCAGAGGTAATTCATAAACTCAGCCAGAAGAAGGCACTCCTGAGGTGAGTAGAACACCCTGTAACTGTAAGCTGGAAAACTAAAGAAATAAAAGGAAAAAAAAATTCCCTATGGGAGGAAGAAAATGGTATACTGTCATAAAAACCGATCACTGGAACCGAGAATAACAAATAGGCAGGGTACTCAAAATCATGAGAAGGCTGTGGGAACCCAATTCTCTACTCCTTGCAAAGTGCACAGTTTTATATATAAAACATTTATACAGTTTTATATATAAAAAAGAAACGTTTGAAGAATATCCTATGTAATTATCTCCTAGGCCCTTTCCAAAATCCTACCTCCATACAGTGGTGGTTTATGGAAGGACTGGAATTGGTTGCTTAGATAGAGGAAGTGGGGAGAATAGGAGGGAAGTGTCCAAAACTGGTTTGCCAGTAGACTGAGAAATAATCAAGCTGGCTCTGAAATGAAGATTAAGACCATGGTAATGCACATTATTTTTCATTTTTGTATGCCAGCTCTGCTTCTGACTAGGAGCAGAAGTAATTAAATGCCATGGAAGAGCCCAGTGAATTTCCACCCAAATTTTTTTTGTGCCCAAAGAGTAGGCTGAACTTCAGTTCTGAGATGAGTGTGAACCAAAACTTTTGCAACTAAATTCAGTCCTCTGATATACATCCACAATAAGTATATTTTCAACTCGTGTGTGTATCAGATTTGACTTCTGGACTTTAGAGACATGTGCAATCCAAACCTAGACTGGGATCTGTGTTTCACAGATGGCACCAATTTTGAATATAAAAAGAAATATTGTGTGTTGATAATTAAGAATAACCTAGGCACACATCCCTATTTTTACCAATTTAAAAACTAGAATTAATTAAGAATGAGGATAAGAATGATGAATATGTTTTGAATGAAATGAGTCAACCAGGATGTAGCCTGTGATGTACAGTACAGTTCTTGTCTTTGTTTCTGCTTCATCAGGCACAGTGATACAAAAATGCTTTAAAAATATCTTAAACAAATACAATCCCTTGGAATTGAGAGGAGCCCCTCTTTCAAGGCATACTCATGCAGAGACAGAGGAACACAGAATTTCAGCTTCATCAGCCATATCAATATTTTACCGCGGTTACAAATCTAACACAGATGCCAAGATATTTTATGTCGCCAAATGTTGCTTTTATTTCTCAGCACATGTTGTACATTCTTTTTTAGAAGTGAACACATCTGTTATGACTTCCTCCAATATATACTTTGTCTCCTTCCCTGCAGTTTGGCTTTTGAAGATTAGAGACATACATCAGAAATGTTACCTATGCAAGAGATTCGATTTATAAGTATGGTTAATCTGCATTGTCTCCATCGCTGCAGGTACTGCAGGAAAGCTGGTGAATCTATTACTTTGGAAGATGACACTATCTTCCCCTTTTTTTCAGGGTAGGGGGGAGGGAAATTAAGGGCTTGAAGAGTGCTTCTCATTTCCCTACCTGTTTTTGCTTTCAGTTGTTGTTTTTGCTTTCATTTGTTGTTTAGATTCCTAGCTGCGCATGAAGATTAAGGGAAGCAGCTGAAATGTAAATTCACCCTGGGAAAGGGAAGGGAGACAAGGAGGAGCAGATGCCCCCTCCTTGTTCTGGCATCCAGCTGGTGTTTAACCAGCACAGTTCTTTGTTTTTTCATTGAGGCTGGTTGCCAGCTTGCCCTTGGAAATGGAGTACAAACTGGACTTCCGTATGTATCTGCTTCTCTTTTTGCCAGGCATTGCTCAGCTTAAAATTGCCCCTGACAGTTCATCCTTCCTTCTGCTGCCATCAGCCTGGCTTTCCCCTGCTGAGCTGACTCTCAGAAACAGCTTCTCTGCAGCAAGTGCTGAGAGGTTCCTGACTGAGAGGGGAGGGAATGGTTTTTGCAAGTAAAAAGGAAGCAGAACAGCAGCGACCAGGCTGAAGAGGTAGGAAATGCTGGCAGTGGCTCTTAGAAACTTGCAAATAGTAGTGAAGAAGTGAGTTGAATGGGAAAAGGAGAAGTGGTGTCAGGGAAGAGAGGGGCAGAGGAAAATTGGTGCTCCTTATTGGCTCTAGAGTTATCCCAGAAGAGAGCTCCTTCGTTACAAGGCAATTCAGCAGAAGCTGAAAGAACCAGTGAAACACCCCAGTTTTCCTTGTGAAGCCAGCAATTTTATCTGAAATGGGCTCTGCTATGGATTCTGCTTCAGATTCTGATCTCAAGCTAAACTTTCCCTGGTTAGGTGTACTTTGAGTTTGGCCCATGGCAACCACTGGCCTGAGAAGTCATTTTGGATTTAGATTAATTGATTTAAGGGCAGGATAGGTCATTTGATCATGTAGTCTGACTTCCTGTACAACACAAGCCAACAAATTTCATCCAGTTACTTTTGTGTGGAACCGAATTGCACATGCTTGACTGAAGTATCATGCATGTAGAAAGGTATGTAGTCTTGAACTGGTCAGACCTGTCGCTGGTAGAAAGTGGGTTTTTTTTTTTTTTTTTACTTATATTTTTAAACAGTAGTTGCCAGGTGGATAGTAACTGTGGCAGTGGGGCCCAAAATAAGTGCTAAGACTGCGAACCATTTCAGATCCTTCCTATTCTCCTCCTAGCATAATTTCTCTGACTCCCTGCTCCATCATTCTCTCCTTCTTTCCCTTCCTCTCCCCAGGATGACCTCCATTCCCCTACCTTCCTCCTATACTGCAGGGTCTCCTATCACTGCTTCCTTCCCTCTCCCACCCGAGTTGTGGTACCCTCTGTAACACAACCTGGCTTCAGAGATACCACACAGCTCCATCTACATCCTGCTGTTACCTCATTTCCTCCCTGCCTATCTGAACTCAGGGGAGATCCTAGTGGCACCTCTTCCTTCCCATTTCTCTTGCCTGTTCTCCAGAGACATGTTGCCATAGCTAATCATCCTTTCCTTTTTATGTTTCTTTGTTTAGCCCTCGTATGGCATGAGTACTGGACAGGGGGCTGACAGCCTTGCTGAGCCGCAAGGCAAGGTAAAGACCCCCCAGCTCTGTGTTCTTGGAAAGGGATAGGTTCTTGGACAGAAGGGGAGGGGACAGCTAGCTCTCAGTGCCACTTGGAGCACGCTGCACCATACTCCCTTAACACTGCCTGCAGCACACCATGCAATGCTCTGGCAGTGATTTAAAGATCCCAAGGCTCTGGCCGCTTGTCACTGCCACCATTTAAATCACCAGGTCCTACCAACAGCTACCCCTTCCCCCTTTCCTCCCTCACCTGGCAGGCCTGTTATTGGAGAGACCTCTGAGTTGGAGTCAGTGTTAGATCTCAA